GGGGGGGAGGTCGTATTGTACTTTTTGGAAACTTTCTCCAACCAGTGAACTACATGTACCTACATTTGGATAATGGTGTTCATGAAACAAACACAGTACTGGACAGAAGAGATTGAGGGGCATACGGAGAGAGGAGAAAGCACGCGAGAGAAGAGACAGAAGGGGGAGGAGAGAGAGACAGAAGGGGAGGAGAGAGAGACACAGAGAGAGAGGACAAAAAGTAGTCTGGGTTAATAACTATAACAAAAGATAGCGTTTGTACAGCGCAAATCCCCGCACAACAATGTGCTTCACAATCTCCAAGCTTTTCAATGAGTGTGTAGGCCTACTATGTACAAAGAGAAAGAAATAAAGTTGGACCTACTATACCTGACACCTTCCAACCACCTGTTAACATCCACACACTTTTACTTTACTTTACTTTTCCGATCCAGCGGCCATTTGGGTTCTAGCCCTTCGGTCTGTCGATGGCATCCACACACAAAAAACAATTAAAAAAACACTTCAGTTAATAAAACATGTATTACTTCAATTTATTTGCTTAAAAAAAAACAATTTGTTTTCTACAATTTTGATACATGGCATTATGATGTATTCTAAGCATGAGTAATGATATTACACAACATTAACATTTCCTCAAGCACAAGTTCTTCTCTTCTGGGAGAATGACAATGAATAAATTAAATGAATTAATGTCGAGTCTGAAATGTGAAACCAAACTGAAATTAGTGATTCAAAACAAAAATAAAAGATAGACAGAGGAAGTACAAAAACCAGAGTATGAAAAGTAACCCCCCCCCTCCCAAACACAAGTGTACATGTACATGATGTTTATTCTGAGTCTGGAGGTGGACCATGCTTAGAATAGAAGTAGAGTGTTGAAGAGGGTTAACTCTCTGTTTCCCTCCTAATACACCTCCTCCCTCTATCTTTTCCTCCCAAAATACCCCCTCCTCCCTCTCCCCTCACCTACTGTTTGTTTTATAAAATACAGCACACAGGCACTGCTTGAACTCGCATTATCCTGAGCATATTTTGACAGAGAAGCACATTCACATGCAAAGTAATTTAGTAATGCTCATTTAATTATGGGAAACATACCAGAGCACCCGCCAAACCCCCTACCAAAACTGGAAAGACTCACCTATTAAAAAAAACAGTGACTGCGAGATGCAATCAACTTTTTGGAGCACAAAACAAAACAAAAAGTAAAAGCAATCGTAGTGTAATTGTACAGGTATTTAGGCCCCATTCAACAGAATTTAGAGGTTATAGGAGGTGGGCTATTTTGATGCTTCCATCCAGGGTCAGCCCATGCTGAAAGGAAAACAATATCCCAGGAAACACAAAGAGCTTCATGATGCATTCACAGACAGGCAAAAAAAAAAGCCCAAAAAACTATTTAACAAAACCTATATATACAGGTTTTAAGGAAGAGACAGCAACATCATCTATTCTTTGGGCATAGCACAATGGTATTTATTATAATTTTATATATATAACACTACTCAAATTCAAATTCCAAACCAATGTACGTGTTTTTACAATTTACACCCCCATAACACAATTTACATCATTTCAGAGGCAGGCTTCCAACCCTGCCTGTCCGAGCCAACCTGGGTTGAGAAAAATACATCATCTCAGCAATAAGACCGAGATACTTGATGAAAATTGTCCCCACTCAAGAATCACACGCAGGTTTCGGATGTGCAACATCCAAACTACAAACCACTACACTACTAACGCTGGTGCAAAGTATGAAAACAAACGTAAATTTTGTCTGAGTAAACAATTATTCGGCACTTGCAACATAATTAGGTCACATAAGCGCTCAGAGCCTGGGTACTTTAAATTAATCGGGGTTGAGCGCTATATAATAAATGTCATTTATTTATTATTATTATAAGAGCCGAAGATTAGGGGTGTTACAAGAGAGAAACAAACACAAAAAAGAAGGAAGAGAGATAAAGACGACAGACGTTTCATACACAAGAAAGAAGGAGCAAACCATACCAGAGCACCTGTAAAACCACCCACGATCCATGTTCTGACAATATCTCCCTACTACAAAACACAACACCGCCTGATGTACAACTCTCGACTCCAGAAAATTTAAACAACACGCGTTGCCCCTCCCCACAACACACTGGAACCCTCAATATAACTGGACACACACCTGAACACACTGCCATGCCAAAGAGAAAAAAGCCTGTTTTTGCCAATGGAAAAAATGCCCTATCTCATCAGTTAGAGTAAAGAGAAGCACAATATAAAATAACAGTATTTCAATGCAACAATCAGGTACACTTGGTTATACACAGAGAGACAGGTCAGAGTAACAATCAGGTACACTTTATCATGTAACATGTACATTATTATATTGACTGCTTAGTTGAAGACTCTGCTATATGCCATTATGAAAAGTGACATATGACAAGGTATCACACCGAGCAATCTGAGTTTCATGAAGTACAAGGACCAGAAAAATTTCAACAGCTTCAGAAACCAATTGAACTTTTCAACTATGAACAGCATGACTGCATTCCACCTGGCTTGGCATACAAAAATACAAACGACAATAAAAATTGATCAGATTTCAACATGAAAAATAGAAAAGTGAAGAGTGTGAAAACGAACAGAAACAATGCCGTATTTAGTATTATTATGCTGAGTACATTTCCACTATGTGGGGAGAGAACTTGATGCTGCACTGCAAAAATGTAGAGTTGGAGAAAAGAGAAGCACGTATGGTCACACTGACAATCATTCAGTGCACGATAAAAGAAGGAAATTTTAGTAAGTGTATTTCGGCACTTGCAATACAATAGGCTCTCATATAAGTGCTGAAGATTAGACACGTTACAAGAGAATAAGAAACACAAAAAAAGGAAGGGGAGAAATAAGGATGATAGATGTTTGATAGGAAAGAAGGAGCAAACCAAACCAGAGCACCCACCTACCATCCACAAAAAAGCATGAACGACAACAGAAACAACAGAGTGAGAGAAAAGAAATAGGACCTACCAATGGCACCCTCCAACCATCCACCCCCTACAAGACACGCTGACATCACAATTAGAATTTATCACATCGTCTGTCATTCAAGCAACAAAATATCTGGGGTCAGGGGGGAAATACACATAATGACCAGCTGTTCAAATGTACCAAGCCCAACATTTTTTAAATCAAATCTTTTTTTAATGCACTTTTTAGTTAGTTTTAGTAAGTGTTTTACGGCACTTGCAACACAATAAGATCATATAAAAGCCGAAGATTAGAGGTGTTACAAGAGAGTAACAAACACAAAAAAGAAGGAGGGGAGATAAAGACGATAGACGTTTGATAAGAAAGAAGAAGCAAACCACACCAGAGCACCCGCCAACCAACCACATGCACTTCTTTTTTAGTCTGTGGTATCGGTTGCATGCTCTCAAGAATATTTTTTGGGAAAAAGTCTTAGTACGGTTTTATGTCACTCGCGACTGCAAAAGGTCATGAGCGCTTTGTCAAGATGAAAATTGTAAAAGGTGGAAAAAGCAAGAAAAGACACAAAATGTAAGTAGGCCTACAAGAACAATTGTTAACAGAATTAACGTTTTTTTTAAATGTCTTATGAAACATTCTTTCTCTGTGGGCTGAGTACATTAGAACAACTTGCCGACGGAAAGTGTCTGCCAACCCGGGAGTCTTACAGTCACTCAACCTGTCTACTCTGGCCACATTGGGGACTAGCAGACCTCAGACTAGAACTGGACAAAAGAAATGTCTTAATCATGGTCTTTATTTTATTTTTTAATGTAGGCCTACTGGTAGATGTTCTTTCCCCCTCACCAACAGTTTAGATCACTAGGAAGTGGGCAGTGACCCTGCCTATCATGGCCACCCTGGACTAAGAGGGATACAAAATCCAAAGAGAAGGACTGAGATACTCCACCAAAAAAAAATCATTCTCCACACTCAAGAATCAAACTTGCATCTCCTGTGTGCTATGGAAAAGCCCCAAACCGCTACATGTCGTTACACCACAGAAGCCTGTGAAACTTCCTCTCTATATCTGTCAGGGTCACACAGGGCCAAGAGGGATACAACACCCACCCACCACACAAAAGGAGAAAGTAAAATAAATTTTAAAATGTCCCCACCACACAAAAGGAGATAGTTAAATAAATGTTTTAATGTCCCCACCTGGGAACAGAACCCATCTGTGTGCCATGGTGAAACTGAAAAGTCAAACACAACAGATGCCCACCAACTGACATTTGGTTAAATTAGTCAAACCTGCTCTAACGGCCACCTGTCTAAGACAATCACCTGCACAACGACCACTCCCCCCCCCCTTGCATTTTTTCTAAATCTATACTCAGTCAAGGACATTCACCTCTTTGTACTAACACAGTCACTTTTTCCCTTTACAAATGAGTGGCCATCTTGGATATTTACGACTGTATTCCTCTCTTCCTGGTATGTTGGGATAAAACTCAAGCATACAAGAAATTTTATGCCTCAACAGTGTTCTACGTATATTTAGCAAATTGGACCCAACCAGCAATACAGTGGAGTTCGCTAACATCAAAATCTGTGGGACCACCAGATTTTCTTCACTTTAGCCCTGTTTTCAGTTAAGAAAGGCAGCTCAAATTGAAGGAAAAAAAAAATTGGGGATGTATTTTACTTTGGTTCATCACTGGTTCTGAATAAACTGTGCTCAGTTTCAGCAGACTCCACAGTAATGTCTCGAATGAAACAAAAGCCCATGCTGCCTGTGTACATGCTGCTTGATCCTCTTTCTCCTCTCATTTTCCAGCCAATTTCCCTCTATGTTATGAATCCAACTGTTTTTTTGTCGGACCAGGAATACATACATTTCCATACACCTCTTTTATACACGTACAAAAAACTGATATAAGGCCAACATCCCACAATATAAACAAAAAATCCATAAACAGAATCTGACAGCTTTTCCTTATATATGGGACAATATATAATAAAATAAATAATGATAATGGGGGACACCAGTTCACTTTCCTCAAGTAGAAAGCTAGTTGAAGTAGTTGTAGTGATTATGTTTGACATCCACATCAACAAAATTTAGACAATTTAGGGGGTGAGACGCTTCAACCCTGCCTGTCAGGGCCAACCCCAGCTGAGTGGGGTACAACTCAAGCACACAAGGAACATAATCTGGGTTTTTTAAAATTTCCACACAGAAATCAAACTGGCAACAATGACAATGTAAGCATCACACCACAGGAGTGAGTACAAAAAAAGCTTCTTTTTCCTTTGTAAATCTTTTAGCAACCAAAATAAAATTTTTAAATTTTTAAAATCTTAAACAAAAGTCACTTTTCACTGTGTACAGACATACACTAGACACTTCAGATGACAATGAACGACTGTAATGAACCCTCCAGCCACTCACAAAGAAACCATGACAACAGTCCCCAGCTCACACATCAGTGAAGAGAAAAAACAAAATGACTACAAGGGAAACAAAAACATCTAATTTTTTATCTTTTCAAGTCATAATACAACCAAGGGATTTCATCACACCATCAGTAACATTTGACTGGTTGACAAAGGGCACAGTCTCTGAAAACATGAATAGAGGAAATTGTTAGCTTTCCAAAGTATGGTGTTCCAAACTTTAAAAACGAAATTTTTTTTCAAAAACTATCAAAATGCACTTAGTACATCTTTTTCCTCCCCTGCAGACCTCAAGTAACAAAATTTAAAAAAGTCATTTTACATGGCCAGTATGGTACAGTATTCACACTACTTGCTTTGGAACACACAATCAAAGAGAATATAAAGTTAATAAATATATTTCATCTATAGAGGGCTTTCAAATGCATAATTATGGATATTTCAAACACTGTACAAAACAAAAAAGACCAAACAACTGGCAGTATAGTATAGTCTGTATAGCTGCTACACACCACAGAACACCCAGCTTTTAGAATACTTCTGGAGCCACAGATACCATTACAGGACAAATCACTTGTTTACCGACATCAGCCCACAAAAATTATAAGTATATATATTCATCACGGTACATTATTTTAAAATGGACCTCTGTATTACAAAGAACCCCCACTCCAAACCACCCTTTTTTTTTTTTTTTGTCTCAAAGCAAATTCTAGTTCAGCAATAAAGAAATTGTGGGAAAGTCGTCAGCCCCGTTCACCTCCAGGTTTTCTTATCAAGGTACAAAGAATGACTTCCAAGAGCACCACAAATAATCATATAGCAAAATACAGAATAGTGACTACTAAACTACATCCACAGTGGTCTTGGTGACAGAGGGTCACCGAGGTTATCCCTACAAACACCCACACGGAGCCATTTATAACTCATCAGCTGACAGATTTACTCCGTTCTTTTTTCCTCAAGACCCAGATCGAAAACAGACATCGGCGATCATGGTTTGCAACGCATTTCTTTGCCCGGACACTTTCAAAAACACTAAACTCCTCCCATAATCCATCTGTTCAAGTTTTTTAAACTAAGAGAGTTATTCTTGGTCTCCTCTGTCTCTTTGGCCTATTATTTTTCCCACGAGACCAAGATGCTCACGACCATTTATGTTGATCCATGCTTCCTAAAAACTGCATTTGTCTCTTCCTATTTTGTTTTGATTTGCTCTATCAGCCTACAGATTTACTCAACAAAAATCCCCCCCATCCCTACAGGAACCCCACAGCACCAGTCTATTAACAACTACAACAGCAATGATTAAAGATTGTGGTAACTGTAAATGCTCCCCCCCCCCCCAAATCTAAATGATTTAGGAGGTGGGCTACTTCAACCTTCCTTGGCCCAATGCAAAACTAAATACCATCCCAAACCCTCTCCTCCCTACAGGACACACAGGCTAGACGACTTGGGAAACTCCCACCACCCATCCCAGCCAAAACCAATCAAAGCTCAATGGGACACACCCCGGCAGACCAACAGAGAAACTCAACAAAATAACATCCCTATGCATGAATCGAACTAACATCACCTGCAAGCATATATATCATATGTGAGGCAGCGTGGTGGAATCAGGCTCTCGTCAAAATAATCAAAGTGAAGAAACTTGCATTTTTCCGCAGGTTTGTGAATTTTTATCAA